TATCTTCTTCTGGAGGCACAGGGTTGGCAATTAGGTGCAGTGCTTGTCGTTCAACGTAAGTGAGAGCCAGCAGACGTGATAAAACCTCAAGAATAGGCTTAGGATCAACAAAAACTAATTGTGGTAAGATGTCAGGATAATACAGGATAATAGTGACATTGTGAAGATATTGCAAGGCATTTTTAGTATCATTCTGTCCCATTTGAAGAGCTTTACCAGCATATATAACTTCATCCATTATAAGAAAACTGCAGCTTTTGTCTTCAGCTTTTTTTTGCAACCAAAGCTCAAATGCAAACCAACGAATTGGAACATTTATTTTAAGAGAAGTACCACCACAATTTGCTATTGATTGACATAAATTTTGTCCTGTTTTTTTTCTTCCTTCATTTTCAGGAACTATTGTATTGACAGGAAATATGATAGACTCTCCACGTACATTGGGGACAACATAATTTTCTACATCAGGCTTTAATGAAGACATCAACTCTTCATTCATCTTCTTAAGCTTGTCTTCAGTTATGAGATCATAATGTGTACCAAGTACAAAATTCATTGGATGTGAAGGTGTTTCAAGGACATGAGGGACATCAATCGGTTTTAAAATGGCTCCTGAAGAAACTGCAGACAGAAAGAATTCTTGATTTGAATACTTTAAGTTTAAACCACACGAAAATGTCTCTCCTCCAATCCTGTATTGGAAATCAAGCTTTTTATCAAGAGGCTGAGAGAGATCAAGAGTGATGATATTGAGAGAAGCTGTTCTAACAAACAATGGTAACAACTCCTGGTATGCTGGCTGACCTCCAGAATCAATAATGTACAACCAATGGCCATTTAAATACAATTGACCTTCAGAGCGTTGGATTGTGTCAACAATTTCCTGAAGTACACCTTCACTTTCATTTAAAACAACAGTAGATTTATCTGTTTGGGTAGCAAAATTACTTCTTTCAATAGTAGATTCATCTTGTGGCTCTGCAATTTGCTGATTATCTGTTGAAATGGGTGAAGAACTTCTAGAAACACTTTGTATAGGTTGAGAAGCAAAATTTTTTTCTTTAGGCTGAGAAGCAGCAGCTACTTTTAAATCAGAAGCAAGTCTTTCAAGTAAACCATCTCTATCAACTTTCTCCCATTTCATAACTTCATTGTCAACGGATACTCTTGTAGCTTTAACAGCTGGGCGAGCAATCGGTGTACTGTCAGTGACGTGGTCAGTATTAGGTGGGTTATTCAGCAGAAGATCTTGTGCACAGGTTTTACCAGCTCCAGGAGGTCCATGCATGTTAATCCGAGTAACAGTTAGCTCAACACTACCTTCACTAAGCCACTTTTCTACAGCTCCTATAAAAATAATTTACTTCATAAAGAATTGCTTAAGTATGATTTACAATTTTAAGAATCTAAAAATTTATTGTCACTATATGTATTCAGACACACACACACAGTTTGAATTGCCCAATCAGATTGTTAATTGGAGGTTTTTAAATCACATACACTATAGTCACTGTGCAAAAAAAGTACATAGCCATTATTTATGGCATTTAACCTCACAGGTGACTGCATGGCAATAGTGTTGTTCCAGTTCTTTGGAACTAGAACTAGAATGGCTTAAAGTACAGGTTTTTAATTTTAGTTCTTGTTCTATAGATTGGAACTAAAAATATTTGTCTTACAGTTAACTAGAACTATGTACTCATTTTATTTAATTTACCCTACAATTACTGGAACTAGAACTAGAACTTAAATAAAATTTTAACAGGTACTTTAACTTATACTGGAACT